AGGTTTGCTTCCTATCGCATCGTTCGTCACATTTTGTTAATATTTCACATTTTAATTAATAATCCAACTAATCGTGTGAAATACGACTCTAAACGGTCTCAATAAACATTGAATTCCATGTTCTCATTGTTTCTAAATTATATAGGATAATAAAACTTAAAACTTAAATTAATAATATGCCAATATTATTAATATTTCAAGTGGCTTGTATAATTCAATTATATCTGATACAAATATAATAATTTCTCATATTTTCCATTTTTCTTCCCTCACTTTTTTCTCTTCTATGTTATATTTTAATTCTGTTTATAGTACTTGACATATGAACCGTACTTGCCATTTTCAACCCGTTCTAATTTTTTTTTCTCTCCTAAAATCTTCTCTCTTTTATTTTTTTTTTATTTGAACTCTAATTCTTTTGTGTCGTTCAATTCTACCACTATATCTAATTATTTTAAGCCATTTAAATCTAATTCTTTTAAGCAGTTTATTACTAGGGGTTTAATTTTACTCCTATATCTAAATAGTTTAATTCTGTTGATTAGTTTAATTCTATTCCCATATTTTTTTTCTTTACTATTTCCAAATCTAATCTTCCTCTCTCCCCATGTATCTACTCCCATATCTAAATTGTTTAATTCTCACATCGTTTAATTTGGTTCAGAAGTTTAATTCTATTACCAGATTTTCTTTGGCTTTACTATTCCCAAATCTTAGTTTTTTTTATTTATTTGAATATGTTTTCCAGATCTTCCTTTTCATCATATTTGCCAAATCTTTTTTTTTTATTATTATTTGAAATGAGATCTTCCTTTTCCTATCTTCCTTCTCATCTTGTTTTCCAAATCTTTTATTTTTTATTTTTTATTTTTTATTTGAATATATTTTACAGATCTTCCTTTTCATCGTGTTTTCCAGATCTTAGTTTTTTTTTTTATTTGAATATGTCTTCCAGATCTTTCTTTTCTCTATCTTCCCCTCTTTCTTATCTATCTATTCCTGGACCAATTTTAATGGACTCTAGCATGGATAGATAATTTCTAATTCAGATCATTCAACAGAGAATTTTCTAAATTTCTAACTTAGATTTAAATAATTGCTAATATCCTTAGTAGAGAGGAAAAGGTAAATCTGACTACTAACTTTTTCAAATGACATCTCTCTTCCTCTGCCCACCATCTCTCCATTACGCATTTTTTTCCTCCAGATAAATATTTTCTTTGTATTTCTGTTTTTGCTGAATTATTGATACTAAATGAAGGAGGTATTGTAGGGGATGGGCTGAGAGATTAAAGGAAGGAGGTATTGTAGGGGATGGGCTGAGAGATTAAAGGAGATGATCAGTTTTTTTTTTTTCTTCTTTTCTTTATTTTGTTATTTTTATTTTAATACACACACATATATATCAAACCTAACGGGGCGTTACAAGAAGACACTAGTGGTGGTTCGAAATCGGTTCGTGAGGAAAAAAGAGTTTGAACTACAAAAGGTTAGTATTTAAACTCATAAAGTTTTAATACTTATGAATATGCTAGTTATTTACTATAATTGATGTTCTAAAAGTGCCTAAGATCCAAATTGCTTCCGCATGTGTTATATTAACACTATCAGCCTAGGCCTTTGTTATGCCTGTGGAGATGTCGTTGTCCCGATTGTTGTTGGTAGCACGTGCCTTTTGGCATTCTTCGGCATCTACGTGCTCATGGCATCTGTCTGTGGACTCACCATTCGATCAATATTGAAACACGAACCAAAGAGTCTGACATGTGCGCGAGTTAATTGGTGAGTAAACCCATAAGGCACAAGAAAACTGACTTGTGGGATCCCTTTGTGGGATGCACCACCAACTGACCTTGATCTTTTAGGAAGGGGTTTGAGTGTGAGCACGCCTATTGGGCCCCAAAAGTTGGTGAACTATGCATGAGTGAAGCGAAGCTAGAGGAAACTCTAGTGGAGGCCTGCAGCGATACTGGCGTGCAAATCATTCGTCTGACTTGGGTATATGGGTGAATGACTAATCGAACCGTCCAGTAGCTGGTTCCCTCTGAAGTTTTCCTTAGGATAGCTGAAGCCCACAAGCGAGTTCTATCAGGTAAATCCAATGATTAGAAGCATTTGGGGCACAATATTCTCAAACTTTAAACACTCGAGGGAAAGCAACATAATTATGATGGTGGAAATCGAATGGTGCCAACAACGATCAATCGCGAGAAGAGATTAACCAAGACGATGAAGCGTTAGTGTGTTGGATTCGTTTCTCTGAACCGGATGCGTGCACTTAAGCCAAAATGCCCTCTTTCATCAATAAAAAAATTTGAGATGGAGATGTCGACACAGACAATATCCTCATCCCGTTGTATGCACTTGTAATTTTTGTGACATTTTCTTAAAAAATGATAAACAACAACCAATAATAATATGATTGGTGATAGGGGTCTACATAGTCAGTATTGAGTGATTTTTTTTTACCCAACCCAAGCCAAAATTTTTCACAACCCAACCCAACCCTCTATTTTTGGGTTGGGTTCGGATTGGGTTGTCCGGTTGTCAAATTATAATTATTCGGATACAACTTTAGGTAAAATTTATTAAAAGTTCACAAAAAAAAAAAAAAAAAAAAAAAAAAAAAAAAAAAAAATT